TGGCTTTGTTTAATTTTCTGCTGCCTCTCATGTCTGCTCAAAATAAAATTCTCAGTCCATTTCAAATGCTCTGTTAACCTTCATGCGTCTGAGATTGGATCTGCCCTCAAAACACCTTGCTATCTCTTCCGTGTTTCACCAAAGACAGTGTACAGAACATTCAATGAAATGGTGTCATTTTTATATGCAAATCTAAAGCGTGCAATTGTGTGGCCAGATAGAGTCACCTTGCACAAAATTATGCCTCATCAGTTTGTGGAGGCCTTTGGACATAGTCACAGTGATTATTGACTGTTTTGAAATTTTCACAGAGAAACCAGCTAATAAATGAATGCCAGATCAAGTACTGTTTCAACTTTATTCTTCTTTTTTTATTCTTCTTTTCACACAAATAGAATTTTGCTTTTCTTAAAGTTACTTTTGAAAAATAACAGCAAAACAAATATAAGTTTCACCATCACTTCAAATATTAATGTTTTCTGAAGTTGTAAAAATGTGTGTACAATAAAGAGTGGATTTGAAATTTGAAACAAGTGTTGTTATTATCTTTTCAATCAAGCAGAGGATTTATGAAAATGCAATACAAAATCTCAAATACATAAATAATGCAGAACAGTGCAAAGCTTCAAATGTTTTACTTTGTCTTCCTCCCTCGTATATAGCAGATTGCTCTTTAGATTAAATTAGAAGATTTTCATTTTCCCTGGACTTGTTTTCACTGTGGTCTTCCTTAGAGATATGACCTAACAGGTGATATCTGTAAAGAAGACTGCAGATCCCAGTGAAAATAGGCCTGGATAAAGTGAACAGCAAATACAGTGTGCAACTTATCAATGTGCAAAAATTATGACAAGTTTTTTCATTCAGTCTGATGAGCAGCACAAACTGCTCTAATAACTGCAGCTATCTGTGCAACTGCCCACAACATCTGCCTTGTCACTATAATAATAATATATTATATCGTTCCCTAGCAGCTTTAGAAAGTTTGTCTGGGTAGGGTATCCGTTCAGTTTTCTTGTTCTTTTCCATTTAACTGATAATCCTCACTGCTGGCAGCGCTCTCCTCTTGTTTTCTTCTGTTTTGTTTTTCTTCCGCTCACCACAAAAATGGCGCTAGGGGGCGTGTCAGTCACGTGTCTGACAAAGACCGATTGAAAGCTGCTACTGCCGCAGTGCATGCTGGGAATGCAGCTGTCAATCTCAAGAGCGGACAAGTTTGCTCTGATGCATGCTGGGTAAAGAGGGAGGGGACTTCCGAACAACATCCGGGGACTTAGACCGTTCTCGGTCTGCTGTTCTTGTGAATTGGAACAGTACTAGGGCTGATGATGTTTCACAAATACACGAGAACGCACAAGTACATATATTGAGAAATGGCCAATGTCTATGTTTTGGTCCCATATGAAGTTATCATTGTCTCCCCCTAGTGGTGTGGAGCATTTCTACTATGGTAGTTTGCAGCTTTTCTAACTGATTTTGCTACTTGTTTTATTTTTTTCTTTTCACGTGTTTAGTGTGTTTGTCTTAATTTTGTGTTTGCTAATCTAACTTTTGAGTTTACTGGTCTAATTTCCGAGTTTGAAGGACCTTTAAAATACAGTACTACCATACTTTTTATTTTTCAGAGCAAAAACTCACTTTCAGTCAGATAACCACTTTTAATTCCTGATGTTTAATGGGGAGTGTTTATTTACGCCTTTAATTGCAGCCATAACTAATACAAGCATAGTTTGGAAAAATGAATTGTAGAACATATTTGATTTTTTTTCATATCCTTACAGTGCCTCTGACATGATTTAATGTGTTTCCCTGTTTGTGAATGTCACTGCCTTTGTTCTTATCAATGATCCCCAGAAACCAAACGTGCCCTACATCTCTCTGCTCGTCTGCCACACCACCTCTCTGACTGGCCTAGATCTGAAGTGATGGCTGACGCTGTCTCTACAAGTTGGGTGTCATTCAGATCGTCTGCCAGCATTCATCTTTCCCACAAACAGAAGCCCCGGGTCTCGGCGGAGGCCGGGACGCTGACGTGCCAGACGACATCTAAGCTGTTGCTTTTCAGGCTTGGAACAATGTCAGTGTGGAGCGGCAGTGGAACTTGAGTTTGTGAAGTGTCTGTGGGCTGAGTGTAAGAAAAAAAATCTGAAGTGGTGCGTTTGGCTTTGAGATGATGAATCTTTTAACATATTGTATACATGTAGGCTTAGATCTCTGCGTGATTCAAAATCTTAAGGCTGGGAGAGAGCAGAAAGTTGGCACTAGTTTATCAACTACTCCTGTGGATCTGAACAGGTACTGCCTCAGTAACAAGTTTGTTCAAGTATAATGCCCTACCAAAACATGAAGAAATATTAATTATTTTTCATATTTTCTTCTTAAAAAGGCTTTAAAGCTTGCTTGACACCTTTATTAGTTACAGATGTTTTTATTGTGATAATCTTCTTTATTTTGTTTTTTAATTTATAAAAAACTTAGCTGACTACGTATTTGGTGGATTTGTCTGTAGATCCTAGTTTTCCAGATTTCACCCAAAATTTGAAGCAACATCTTTGTTTTTCGTTTCAGTAGAGGCTTGGTCTAAAAAAAGTGGGGCTTGTGGGAAATAAATGCACTCAAACACAACAAAAGAGGGCAGTCACACGGCCTCACTAGATCAATCCAATCCGGTGCCTAAATCTGACCAACCGCCAAAGGCACCACGCATTACAGTATAAACCAAACAGAATCAACGTAAGGCAAGACTTGACGTCTCTAACAATCTTCTACACACACAACAGTACCAACATTTAAACCCAGTAGATGTCCTCCTTCTTCCTGGACGTTAACTTACCCAATTTTGTTCACTGTTGAGTCGCTGTTTCTCCTTCAGATTCCTAGTTAATATCATTTCCTGTATCTATTGCTAAGCTGTGCACATTTTATTGACCGGTTCCCTTCCCCCCCTTTGGGATCATGTCCCCCCTTTTTTAATCCCACAACATTTTTTAAAGCTATTTAAATTATAGTAGTATATTAACCAAAAAGTGATAAAAATACAGCAGTTGATTCTTCACAACAATATAATACAGTCAATTAGGACGTACATAGAGTTAATGCATGTTTTATGGGGTAGAGTTAGTCTCTGCTGTCATTTAGAAGTTTATATGTAATTAAAAATAAATTGCTCAACTAATTTAATGTATGTGTTACGTAGAACCATAAATTAATTTAAACTGCACAAATGTGTAAATACGTACATATTTATATATGGATATTAACCATAAATATGTCTGATCAGCTAGGTACACAAAATAATGTGCATTGACTGGAAATAAATGTTTTACGTATCTCAAACTAAGCTTGAGTAAAACCTTTCACAGTGCTGCTTTAAAGACCTGAAGATGCAAAAGATGCAAAATATAAAAATTACTTGGACATCCATGCTGGAAAAAGGAAAATCTCAGAGTTTTTACTCAAGTTTAAAGATTTGAGGTCCACATACTGTTTGGAAATGACTCAATAGTACATTGTTAAGTTAGAAAAAGTAAATTGTTCAGAGTTTAAATTCATTGAGTATTCAGGCTATCTCATCCAGACAGAGTTCTGGTTAGTGAGCCTATTTAAAAAGTGTGAACTTCTCTTTAAAACTTTCCCTTTAAAGAAAAATCTGTAACTAGAACTGGAATGAGGAACTGGAAAGAGAAAAAAATCAAACCATCACCATTTGTTTAGTAGTCAAAACCACACCAACCAAGACCAAGGAGTACGGAGACAAGGCCAAGAACATAAGGGGCCCAGACCAAATGCAAGACCATATAAAGTCTTGTTTTGGTCCCTGCCTCTAAATGTCTTGGTATTTTCTTTGTCTCTGCTTTTTAAAGATCTAGGTCTTGTCTAGGTCTCTACCCCCAATGATGTAAGTCTTGTCTTGGTCTCATCCGCTAAAGGTCTAGGTCTTGGTTTCTACCCCCAATGATATAGGTCTTGTCTTGGTCTCATCCGCTAAAGGTCTAGGTCTGGGTTTCTACCCCCAATGATATAGGTCTTGTCTTGGTCTCTGCCTATAAAGGTCTACTGTTGGTCTTGATCTCAACCCCCAATGATATAGGTCTTGTCTTGGTCTCTGCCTCTAAAGGTCTAAGTCTTGTTTTGGTCTCAGGCTCTAAACGTCTTTGTCTTGGTCTCTGCCTCTAAAGGTCTACAGTAGGTCTTGGTCTCTACCCCCAATGATATAGGTCTTGTCTTGGTCTCTGCCTCTAAAGGTCTAAGTCTTGTTTTGGTCTCAGGCTCTAAACGTCTTTGTCTTGGTCTCAGGCTCTAAATGTCTTTGCCTTGTCCACGCCTCCGTACTCCTTGGTCTTGGTTGATGTGGTCTTGACAACAACACTAATTACCATTAAACAATTTCCAACCCTATTGGGATGATGGCGTTTCTAAACCTGGTCTATCTCTGTTTGGCTCTGACAGCACCCTGGAGAGAAATATCAACACCTTTGTTTATAGATGTTGGACTGACTGTGACTGTCTGGATGTGCTTTCTTCATCCTCTGACATGGGAGCTGGCTTGGAGCTCTTCTGCCTGGCTGTGTGTTTCCTGGACGTGGCCGCCTTTTATAGTTGCCTTTGGTATCTCTGCTTTTCTCTGTATCTCTGCTTCTGTCTCCTTGAACCCCAGTCGGCCTCGACAGATGGCCGCTCACACTGAGCCTGGTTCTGCTGGAGGTTTCTTCCTGTTAAAAGGGTGTTTTTCCTCCCCACTGTCGCTACAAGCATGCTTAGTGTCTTAGTGTGAGGGAATGCCTTCAAGTCAATAAGTCGACGCAATCAAGTGGTTTTCCTTAGATAGAAAACTTTGAATTAATTTGACTGTATGATCCAATGAATTGCAAAGTGCCTTGAGATGACATTTAGAACTAGTCTGTGGTTTTGCAAACAGGATAAAAAATGTTGTTTTTAACAAAAGCATAGCCTTCTTCTAAGCAGATTCAAAAGAGAGGTCAAATAAAAGTGAGCCATACCACTAAGTAGGGGTTGGCTGCGTCTGTATGTGGTGGGCAGAGGGCCCAGGCGTTCCTGCCGCTGGTTCAGAACTCGGCACAGATGGCCCGTGTGGCGCAGGCTGCCGACGGTAATGCTGTGCAGGTACACAGGCTCCACAAAGTGGCTCAGCAAGGCCCCCTGCAGGCCCAAGATGTTCCACCTGAGAGACGGGGAAGCAGAAAGACAGGGAGGGAAAAAAAAAGAAAGATGAGGCCTAGTCAGGAGGAGAGATAGGACTGGCTGGTGGAAAAAGACAGACAGACTGATGTGAGAGCTTCAGTGACAGGTAGAGACAATTTGATCATTATCTTGATGTGGGACGTGATGAATCACAGCCACTGGGTCGTCAGCACTAACACTTACAAAAACACACACATCCTCTTCCCTCAGATACGAACCATCATCGGCAACAACAACACAGCCAAAGGTCAGTACATCAGCACTCATTACATGGAGCAACACATTACCATGTGTGCATTCATCAGTGCCACGGAGGTTAATGCACTGCAGGAGAGTTACGTTGATTGCTCAGTGTGAGGGCCAATCACCTTCAGGTTTGCTTAGGAAGCCTCAAAATCGCTGCGGGGATAATCCTACCTGCCGCACTGACACAAAGCTCTGCAGCCAGCTGGTCATGTGCCACCTAGCGTGGAAAAACCCCTCTATTTAACCAATAGATGTCAATTTGAGGGTGAAAAATGATAATTAGTTTAATACCGTTCCTGGCATTTATCCGGGTAGATGTGCTGTTTACCTGAGCTTCTTACATTATGCTTCTAATATTTACATCATTGTTCTTTTTGTTCATCGATGTATTTTTTCTTGAAAGCAATTATAGTGCCTGCTTGTCTTTTTCTCTTTTTTTTCCTCCTTCCCTCCCCAACATTTGCTGGCTTAATAATCACTCATTACAGATACTTTTGCTTCCCAAGCAGTCAATTAACATCAACGGCTTTCTGGGAATCACTAAACGGCTGCATGCCTGCATCCGCTTTACCTACAATCTGTCGCTAAGATCTGCCTTTCCCTCTCAAACAGAAAAAAAAGGAGCTTTGTTCAGCAGGCAGCTCCCTAAACGTACAGATCCTAAGTGCACTGACGACTTAAAATAAAAAAAAAAAAGATAAAGTTTGGCCTGAAATATTAATTTACTCCGAAAGCAACACCGTGAATTGGAGACATCTTCTAATCTCATGCAAGAAAAGACAGCCATCTGGCTCGGGAAGAGACCTTTTTCCTTCCCTCTCCGCATCCATCCTTTCCTCTCTCCTCCAGTAAATGCCGACCCATTAAAGTAATGTGTTCATCTGCATAAAACTGCAGTGAAATTGAGAAATATCATCGTTATATGAAAGCCATTTAGGCCCCTCAATTAAATCCAGCTGTCGCCTTCAAATCAAATATTTGCAAAGCGTCTTCGCCGGGCAGCGCTTAAAACAACAAAGCGATGATCGTCGGTCGAGGCGGTGATAACTGTCATGGAGGATGTTTATGATAAGAGCAAGGATCCTAATATCCCCTTTGGTCAAAGCTGGAACAACTATAATAAAGTGCAGGAAGTAAAGGGAGTGAGGAAATAAAAAAGTAATGGGAGGTTGCACAATGAGTGGGACAGAGGACAAAAAGAGTATCCAGGGGATCACTTTAAGACTGCAGCAGAGAGCGGGGAGTGTGCAGCCCTAAGCTGCTCTCAGTTCTGCCCTCCTCTCCTGACCTTGATAAACCGCTCCTCGGTGACCCACTCACTTTAACGGCAGCCACTGATCATTTACAGCGTTTAAAACAAAAAAGGAAGCTGCGGAGCAAGAGGAGCACGTCTGCCGTCTTCTCCTGGCAGGAAGGAGGGTAAAGGGTGGATGGGAGGGATAAAAAGGCAGGATGTCCCCTCTACCTCCTCCGTCACTCTATTTTTTGTCCAGTAATTGCTTTCACCCTTGTTGGTGACCTGGCTAGATTTAATCACACCGTCCCCAACCCTGGCCAACTGAATCCAATTGGTCAAATTAACAGCGGCTACACAGGAGAGGGGTTCACCTCGTGCTTTCACCCGCCTTCTAGCTGCTGCCTGCTTCTTCCTCTCTGTTTCTCTAACACTCACACACGTTATGGGCTGCTATCCTTATGAGGACTTTAAATTGACCATTCATTTCTAACCCAGGCATAACCCAGATCCTCACCCTAACCCCTCACATATCAGAGGTTTACAGTTACTAAGTACTTTAATTTTGTCACATTACTAAAGTAATTTTTTTGAGGAGCTGTACTCCATCGGGTATTCCAAAAATTTGTTAAAAAACAATCCACTGGACTTTCTTTCCAAGTTTGAAGACGTTTTGCTTCCCATCCAGGAAGCTTTTTCAATTCAAAATGTCAGGAATAGCGTTGAGTTTGAGGTTTTATACAGTAGCCCATCAAAACCTTGTTTTTGTTTTGAAACCATGCAAATTGACACTGACAAAGGGGTCCATCCCTTTGGATTGGGGGTCGTTTGGGTTCTTTTGTTAGCCTGTGATGCCCCATACTTGTCTATGCATCCGAAAGAGGGGGTCGTTAAAGGGAATTGTCAGCCTGGCTGAATAGGCGGGGTCTTCTGCTCTCCTGTACAGGGGGTGGGGTTGCGATGATAATGGGAATAATCAACTGAATTGCTGCATTGAGTTGTTTTTGAATATATAGCCCGGTATGGATTTTATATGTCCAGTTTTTCAAAAAAAAAAAAAAGTAGTGGGCACAGCTTATAGTGAGGTGCACTCTATAGTCTGGGAAAAACTCTACTTCTTCATTTAGAATCTGAAACATTCCTCATTTCTACAAATTAATTGAGCCATTTCTACAAATTAAAGTATGATCAATATTTATAATGAAAGGATTTAATTATGTGGAACCATTAGAGAACTGCTCTCTATTTGTCCTGGTCCAATCTCCTTACTGGTTGGTGGCAATATTGCACCACATTGTTGTTTGCAAAGATTTAAAATCTAAAATAGTTATTTAAGATCTTAAATCTGTGCAAGCTATTTTTACTGCTACAATTCTTCAACATATTGACCTAAAAGCTGACAAACCCAAGTTACTCCTAAATCATTCTGTGTTATTAGTGGAAAAAACTTAGTAAAATTTTTTGTTTTGCTTCTAAGTTATTTTAACATCAAGGCTGTTTAGTTTTTGTTCATCCTCAACCGAGCTTACAGCACAGCCATTCCATTTGTGTTAATCTTATTTCAGGTCTTCAACAAATTTTGCCTCTATTGTTTTTATCAAAGGGAGGTAAAGGGACAAACAAAAAACAAACAAACAAACAAACAAACAAAAAACCCAGTTTTTCTCACTTCTTTGTATGGAAAAAAAAGTGTTACTTTTACTTGACCAATTATTAGGAACAACAATAAGTTATTTTCTCATCAGCAACTTTCACTTTTACCAAAATAATTTTCTGATATATTCACTTCATGCTTTTTTACCTTTATACACCCCAGCCCATTACCAATACATTCCTAATACAACCCAACAAGCAAACCTTTCCTCACTGGTCCTCACAACAATAAAATTGGCCTTAAAATTGTCATAAAATAAGCAATACATGTTAACTCACTCTGTTGCAGGTCAACTCTGGCCATATATATACTTCAGGTACCAAAATGATATTTAATATAGGGAAAAAACTATCTTTACCTAGCTAGATAAGTAATGATATTCACTATGACTAGACTATAAATGTGGACTATAAATTATTATTTTATTTTACTGAGATTTTTAAGTATGGAAGATACAGTAAAACCAAAAATGTCCAGTTAAGAATATTTTTTGAGTCATCTACTTGTTAAACTGGATGCAAGCTTAAGTATAGCATTAGAACAAAGTGGGTAAAGTGCGGCCATTAGTCATATAAATCATAAAAAGTGAGTGAAGAGTTGACGGTAAAACAAAGACTGCACTCGTTAATTAGAATAGGATTACTAAATTCAGACACATATGGGAAATCAATACAAGCACTACCTTGACTAGCATGCTTCCTTAACGCATACGCAGAGAAATGGATTAGGTAAATATCAGACAAATCTCTGCTTGGCTTTTATAAAGCCTAATTCAAAATACCCCAGTCTAGTAAATCTCTGCTCTTTATAAGAAAGGTAATCTTCTAATAAAGTTAACCTTTCCGTCACTCAGTTTACCTTTCTTTGCTTAAACGGAGAAGAAATTTCATGGATGATTTAATGCAGACGTTTCTTTCTTTCTTCTTTCTTTCTTCCTCCCCTTCTTCCTTTCTTTTTTTCCCCCTTTCTTCCTTCCTTCCTCCCTGTCTGTCTATCCGTCTTTCCTTCCTTCCTCCCTGTCTGTCTGTCTATCCGCCCTTCCTTCTTCCTTCCTTCCTTTCTCCCTGTCTGTCTGTCCTTCCTTCCTTCTTCCTTCCTTCCTGCCTGTCTGTCCTTCCTTCCTTCCTCCCTGTCTATCTATCCGTCTTTCCTGCCTTCCTCCCTGTCTGTCCGTCCTTCCTTCTTCCTTCCTTCCTGTCTCCCTGTCTGTCTATCCCTCTTTCCTTCCTTCCTCCCTGTCTGTCCGTCCTTCCTTCTTCCTTCCTTCCTGTCTCCCTGTCTGTCTATCCCTCTTTCCTTCCTTTCCCCCCTATCTGTCTGTCTTTCTGTCCATCCTTCCTTTCTCCCTGTCTGTCTGTCTTTCTGTCCTTCCTTCCTTCCTTCCTTACTTACCTACCAAAGTGCCCCAATGTGTAAAAATATAAAAAAATAGATTGTAATTTTGTCATAATTTCAAATGGATAGAAGTATACAGAGTAGTTATCTGTATTCCAGTATTCCAAGTATAACCCAATGTAAATAAACTTTCCTTTAGACTCACTGATTTAAGATGAAAAAAACAAAACAAAGTTCTGTGTGTGAAATAAAAATAACCTTTAGAATGTGTATATAGCAGTAACCTGAAAATCAGTTTTGTTATATTTTATCATCACACTGTCTTGAGTCAATAGTTCATAAAATAAATGTTATTTATGTGCCTGTGATGTCCCTTTCTATTTAGGGACAAAACATAAGTGATCTATTAGTTGCCCCTCCTGGTCAATAATCATTAGTGGAATTATGTTATATAGATATTATGTTATTCTTATACATTTTTCAAAGTTCCACATTTGTGTGACAATTTTTTCTATAATCTCTTTTGCTGCTGTAAAGACCAGAATTTACCCATTGTGGGACAATAAAGGGATGTTCTATTTTCTATTTCTATTCTATTATATAGAGCCTCAGTTTAACTTATAGTTTCAGGCATCTGACATGCTGATGTGAGTAAATCTACTTTATGGCAGACAGCATTGATTAAGTAACATCACTTGGTTACTACGAAAAATCCGAGTCACAGTGGCAGTGATTCTACAACATTGGTACACATGGGAGTAAACATGGCATATGAGTCATGGCGTTCATGTAAATAATTTTTTGAAATGTCCCAAAAAACATTAAATTCAGTGTCCAGCACATTGGATCAGTCCATTTGTTGCACATGTTCAGAAAGGTCCACACAAACAGCAGCAAACCATTTGAAAACAAACGGTGATAAAAGCAGTGTTCCCAACTTAGCGCGTTTGTTGCTATATTTCTCCAGCACTTTAATTTCAAAAAAGCACCAAATCCAACCACTTTTTTTCTGTCAGGGGAGACTTCGGCAACAACATCTAAAAGCAGCGAACTCTGCTCTCCAGAGCAATCAGATTGGTAACCCCGCCTCCTGCTCTCCTCTATCTTGTCTGCTGTCATGATTCATGCAGCCATTATTTCATATAAATGAAAAAATGGAGAACAGATAAGCAGATCATGGCCTGTCTACAGTGAAAAGAAGGACTGGGTTATTTACTTTTGCCTTCGCCTTTTCGCAAACACAGGAAGGAGCAATCAGCTAAGTTAGAATGGGCTTAGAGAATGGAAAAAAATCTTTCATTCCTTGTGAGATAGCATGAAAAGTCAGCTGAGCACATTGCCAATATGAAAAGAAAAAGGGAGAAAAGAAAACATAGTGAGGAAAAAAACAAAAAAAGGGATAAGAAGAGAGGGACAAGACGTAGAACAAACAATGTAGGTCTATTCTATAAAAATTTCTGTATCTGTATAACAGGTCTGTTTTATGTGTTGTCTTCTCAATTCCAAGGGCCCTATGCCTGTTTTTGCCTAGGGCCGCAAATATCCTAAATCCGCCCCTGATCATCAGGTGTGCAGTAGACATAAAATAAGAAACAGCAGGCCTACAATGACTGTAGAGAGTTTAGTCAGGAATTCATATAACAACTATAGTAAAAGGTCTAGGTTGTAGCCCTAATGGGTCCTACTCACAGGTTTAAAGAGTTTCCAACCAAATGGTTTATGCTGCAGAACTGACCTGGTGATCTTGTCAGTGCAGGACATGGTGATGAGTTGTTCCCCTTGCAGGATGCCATCCCACGTCTGGACAGGCCCTCGGCATGGCAAAGGAACCGTCCCTTCGCCAGACTCGATTTTGGTCCGCAGGTGGCTTCGATGCTTCCTCATTAGATGTCTGCTGCTGTGTACTTTAAATGAGGAAAAAGAGAAGAGGCCCGTTTAAATAAATGCTCTTTGAATGGAGCTAGGATCTTGTTTATTCAAATGCCTGCTTGGGTTTTGCTGTTTGTGAGAGAAAAAGACTTGATTTAATTGAGACTCTAAGATGCTAATGCCACATGATTCAAATCTGCATTCAGGATGAATGCGACATTATAGGCTAGTATTTAGATTTTAACAGTGTTCTAAAATACATAAAATGAGTAGATTCCAGTGAGTGTTGTTTCTTATTTGCATGTTCTTGGCCTAATATAATGATGTTTACATGTTCCTGTTTTCAATCCATCCATTTTCTGACACGCTAAATCCCAAGTGGGATCGCGAGGGGTGGGGTCCAGCTGTCTATGGGCGAGAGGCGGCGTACACCTTGGTGCAAGGTTGCCAGTCCATCACAAGGCAACACAGAGACAAACAGGACAAACAACCATTCACCTAAGGAGAATTTAGACAAGCCAATTAATCTAACTGTGGGAGGAAGTTGGAGTACCCAGAGAGGACCCACACATGCTCAGGGAGAACATACAAACTCCATGCAGAAAGACCCCGGGCCGGGAATTGAACCCGCACCTTGCTACCCACTGTGCCACTGAGCAGCCCTTGTTCCTGTTTTAGGAGCCTGAATAGTCCACCATCCGTTTAAAGACAGGTTATCAAAGGCTACGTTCACACTGCAGACCTTGATGCTCAATTCCGATTTTTTTTGTGAAATCCGATTTTTTTTGCGTGGCCGTTCATATTTCAAAATACAGTGGGGCAAAAAAGTATTTAGTCAGCCACAAATAGTGCAATAGTTGAGATAGTTCTCCCACTCAAAAAGATGAGAGAGGCCGGTAATTTTCATCATAGATATACCTCAACTATGAGAGACAAAATGAGAAAAAAAATCCAGAAAATCACATTGTCTGATTTTTAAAGAATTTATTTGCAAAATATGGTGAAAAATAAGTATTTGGTCAGTTACAAACAAGCAAGATTCCTGGCTCTCACAGACCTGTAACTTCTTCTGTAAGAGGCTCCTCTGTCCTCCACTTGTTACCTTCATTAATGGCACCTGTTTGAACCCGTTATCAGTATAAAAGACACCTGTCCACAACCTTAACCTCAGTCACACTCTAAACTCCACCATGGCCAAAACTAGAGAGCTGTCAAAGGACACCCAAAACAAAATTATAGACCTGCACCAGGCTGGGAAGTCTGAATCTGCAATAGGTAAACAGCTTGGTGTGAAGAAATCAGCTGTGGGATCAATTATTAGAAAATGGAAAACATACAAGATGTTGGGAGCTGGAGAAGTACCACCTTCCTCCAGCAGAGTCCGCCGTGGATCCTCCTGAGCCGAGCCTCCTGCACAGCTGTGGCTCATTCCATCATCAGAGGATCCACAGTATTTAAGCTGTCTTCAGACCTTGCCTCAACGCCGCAGTGTTGATCCAGTTGGTTAGCACCTAAGCCTAGTATCTCTGAGAACCTTTGTTGACTCTTGAATCCAGACTGGATTCTAACCTTTGTCTCTGTTTTCCAGGAAACCTGTTTTTCTCCTGTGAAGCTCTGGAAGAGCTTAACCTGCCGAGCCTGCCCTCTGAGCCAAACCTGAAGTCCCTCTCTGGATTCCCATGCAGCTCTGGATTAAGAGCTGGAAACTCAAAAGCCAAGGTCAGCTCACTTTCAAGAAGTAAGACGCTGAAGCAGCTAACGGACTCTGCTGAATAAACTATCTCCGGACCCAACAGTTTCCCTCTCAAGGCTTTAACCAAGAACCCTCAAGGTACGAATCAGAAACAGTCTGAATAAAACTCCTTTGAGCAAACGCTAACTGAACTGTCTCCCACGCAGACTCCAGTGAACCAGTTCCCCAGGCCTGAACCAGAACCAGTGATTAACTCTGTGCTTGTGTCAATAAACTTTGTTAAACCTTTTACTTCAGTTTCCGTCTCCGTGGTGTTCTGCATTATTGGGTCTCACTAGTGAACCCATCATGACAGAACACTGCGGCCACACACAGGGCCCAGCAGATCACCTCACTCGTCGATTGGAAGAGCAGGAGGCCCAACTGCATGGACACGCTCTGGCTCTTCGTGAGTTAAATACTCACATTGAAATGCAAAACCAAGTGCTCCAAGGCTATGCTAACTATATGAGCAATGCTAATGCCACAGCGACAGCGCAACCATTTCCGGGTCCAGTTCCACTTCTGAGGTCACCAGCAGTGACGTCATCAGAGTTCCGCCCAAGCCTACCTGAAAAATTCTCTGGAAATATGAAAGACTGCAAGGGATTTTTGTTTCAATGCCGTTTAATCTTTCAGAACTCTCCTGGCAGTTTTTCCACGGACTTTAAAAAGATAACCTTCATTCTTTCCCAATTGACAGGAAGAGCCCTGGAGTGGGCTCAGGCCAGGTTTGCCTCCGATGAAAGCCTTGATTGCCGATACTCTGAGTTTATTTCTGAATTTTCTCAGGTATTCAACCAAGAAACTGATCAAACCATTGACTCTCGTGCTCTTTTCAACCTTAAACAGGGAAATTCCTCAGTGGCGGAGTTCTCCATTAACTTCCAGGTTAAAGCGGCAGCTTCCGGATGGAATCAAGCGCTCTGAAGGGGGCTTATTTTATGGCCTTGAATGAAAGTATCAAGGATGAACTAGCAACCCTCGACGAACCAGCCACACTTGAAGAATTAATCCGTCTGACGATTAAGTTGGACAACAGAATCCGAGCTAGAAACAGTTCCAAGTCTAAAAGTCTGGGTTCTTTTTCCCCTGCCCCTGCGTCTAATAATGTGACTGTTTTTTCTGCTCCCACAGAACAGTTGTCTAAACCGAGATCTAAAGCCCAGTCTCTTCCGTTGCCTGTTCAGGCCTCTCATTCATGAGAATTGGATGTCGAATCCATGCAGGTGGGACATACCAGGCTCACTCCAGAGGAAAGACAAAGACGCTTTTTGAGCAAACTGTGCATCTACTGTGGTGAGAGTGGTCACTTCATCGCTTCTTGCCCAGCTAAATCAAAAGCCTGGGCCCGCCAGAGGTTCTGAGGAGTCTGGTGGGCCATGATAACTCTAAAAAATCTCCTCGACTGATGCTTCCTGCCACTTTGGCTTGCTCTAATCAAAGCCTCTCTTTCTCTGCCTTCATCGATTCAGGCTGTGAACGAAATTTAATTGATTCAAATCTTGTCCAGCAGCTTCAAATTGAAACTATTCCCCTGACCCAGCCTCTTAGTGTCTCAGCTATTGATGGGAAAAAACTCCACCAGGTTACCCATCAAACTCAACCTCTCGAGCTACTTCTCTCAGGTAATCATCGTGAAACCATAACATTTTTTGTTTTTCCCTCCGCATGCTCCCCCCTGTTGCTTGGATTCGAATGGTTGGAGAAACATAATCCACATATTAACTGGGCTGATCGTCATGTGGAGTCGTGGTCAACGTTATGTCACGAGACATGCCTCCATTCGGCAGCCCCCGTGGTGGGGTCCCCTAGAGGTGGGGGGGAGATGGACTCTCCTGACCTTTCTTCTGTTCCTTCTGAGTACCATGATTTGGCTCCTGTCTTCAGTAAGGTCAGTGCTACGTCCCTTCCACCACACAGACCATATGACTGTGCTATCGAGCTATTACCTGGAGCACCTCTACCCAGCAGCAGACTATACAATATTTCCAAACCTGAACGAGAAACTAAGGAAAAATACATAAACGAGTCTTTAGCTGCTGGGATAATTCGTCCATCTTCTTCTCCGTTGGGTGCAGGGTTCTTTTTCGTAGGCAAGAAGGACGGTTCGTTAAGACCATGTATTGATTACAGAGGCCTGAACCAAATAACTATTAAGAACAAGTACCCTCTTCCACTACTCGCCTCTGCTTTTGAACCTGTACAAGGGGCAACTGTTTTCACCAAACTAGATTTGAGGAACGCTTATCATCTTCTTAGGATCCGTGATGGAGATGAGTGGAAAACAGCCTTTAAAACCCCCTTGGGCCAGTTTGAATATTTGGTCATGCCCTTTGGTTTAACAAATGCTCCTGCCTGTTTTCAAGCCCTTGTGAATGACGTTCTCAGAGACTTCTTAAATGTGTTCGTGTTCGTCTACATCGATGACATACTCATTTACTCAAAGAACCTTTCAGAGCATAAGGAACATGTTCGCCTTGTGTTGCAAAGATTGCTGGAGAACAAACTGTTTGTCAAAGCCGAGAAATGTGAGTTTCATCAGCCTTCAGTCACCTTTTTGGGGTTTGTGCTCGAGGGCGGGCAGGTTAAGCCTTCAGAGGACAAAATAAAGGCTGTTTTGGAATGGCCAGTCCCTGAAAACCGCAAGCAGCTGCAGAGATTCCTGGGTTTCGCCAATTTTTATCGCCGATTCATCAGGAACTATAGCCAGACAGCTCTTCCCCTAACCTCTTTAACCTCAGTCAAACGAACCTTTCAGTGGACCCCTGAGGCACAAACCGCATTTGAGAAACTGAAATTTTTGTTTTCCAGAGCACCCGTGTTAATCCAGCCTGACCCATCCAAACAATTCATCCTCGAAGTGGACGCTTCCGATTCTGGAGTTGGAGCTGTCTTATCTCAGAGACTCGACACTGATCAAAAGATTCATCCTTGTGCCTTTTTCTCTCGAAGACTTTCCTCCGCAGAGCAAAACTACGATGTTGGAGACCGTGAGCTACTGGCCATCAAGTTGGTGCTGGAGGAATGGAGACACTGGCTGGAAGGAGCTGAACATCCGGTTCTCGTTTGGACAGATCACAAGAACCTTGCTTACATCCAGTCAGCTAAACAAGCGAATCCCCGTCAATCTAGATGGTCCATTTTCTTCTCACGATTCAATCTCATTATCTCCTACAGACCCGGATCCAAGAATGTCAAACCCGATTCTCTCTCTCGTCTATACTCCGTTGATCAACCCGAGACGCCTGAACCTGTCCTCCCCGCATCATGTACTGTTGGAGTGGTTACCTGGGAGATCACCGATCTAATTAACACCGCCCTGGCTTCAGAACCCGACCCAGGTAACGGTCCAGCTAACCGAACCTATGTACCATCTTCTGTCAGATCTCGCCTAATACAGTGGATGCATGCTGCTAAGTTCTCCGCCCATCCAGGGGTCAGTAGAACCGTCGCTTTAATTTCAAGACGTTTCTGGTGGCCAACTCTTCACAGAGATGTCAAGGAATATGTGTTGGCCTGCTCCACCTGTGCAAGAAATAAAGCCTCACACCAACCACCCTCAGGCCTGTTACAACCTCTTCCTGTTCCCTCGCGTCCATGGTCCCACATAGCTATCGACTTCGTCACTGGTCTCCCTATCTCCCGAGGTGTGTCCACTATCTTCACCATCGTTGATCGATTCTCGAAATCCTGTCATCTCATCCCTCTCAGGAAACTTCCCACGGCTTTTCAAACCGCTCAGCTCCTGGTGAAACACGTTTTCCGTCTTCATGGCATTCCCCAGGAGATCCTCTCAGACCGTGGCCCCCAGTTCATATCCCAAGTTTGGAAGGCATTCTGTTCCGCTCTCGACTGTAAGTCCTCTCTAACATCCGGTTATCACCCACAGTCCAACGGCCAAACTGAGAGGATGAACCAACAGCTAGAGTCAACCCTCCGTTGTCTGACATCGAACAATCCCACCGACTGGAGCCAGTACCTAACTTGGATAGAATACGCACATAATTCTCTCAAATCTGCTTCCACCGGCCAGTCACCGTTTCAGGTCAGTCTCGGTTACCAACCTCCACTTTTTCCCGCAGACGAGAGAGAGATTTCGGTCCAGTCAGTCAACCAGCACATCAGACGCTGCCAACGCATTTGGAGAGATACCATCTCAACCCTCAATCGTTCCTCCGAGACTACCAAGCGCTTCGCCGACTCCAGAAGACATCCCGCCCCTGAGTACTCCGTGGGCCAAGAAGTATGGCTATCAACTCGAGATATTCCCCTCAAGGGAATGTCGGACTCTAACGGACTCTGCTGAACAAACTATCTCCGGACCCAACAGTTTCCCTCTCAAGGCTTTAACCAAGAACCCTCAAGGTACGAATCAGAAACAGTCTGAATAAAACTCCTTTGAGCAAACGCTAACTGAACTGTCTCCCACGCAGACTCCAGTGAACCAGTTCCCCAGGCCTGAACCAGAACCAGTGATTAACTCTGTGCTTGTGACAATAAACTTTGTTAAACCTTTTACTTCAGTTTCCGTCTCCGTGGTGTTCTGCATTATTGGGTCTCACTAGTGAACCCATCATGACACAAGACCACTGATAATCTTTCTCGATCTGGGGCTCCACGCAAGATCTCACCCCGTGGGGTCAAAATGATCACAAGAACGGTGAATAATAATCCCAGAACCACACGGGGGGACCTAGTGAATGACCTGCAGAGAGCTGGAACCAAAGTAACAAAGGCTACCATCAGTAACACACTACGCCGCCTGGGACTCAAATCCTGCAGTGCTAGACGTGTCCCCCTGCTTAAGCCAGTACATGTCAAGGTCCGTCTCAAGTTTGCTAGAGAGCATTTGGATGATCCAGACGATGACTGGGAGAATATCATATGGTCAGATGAAACCAAAATAGAACTTTTTGGTAAAAACTCTACTCGTCGTGTTTGGAGGAGAGAGAATGCTGAGTTGCATCCAAAGAACACCGTACCTACAGTGAAGCATGGGGGTGGAAACATCATGCTTTGGGGCTGTTTTTCTGCTAAGGGACCAGGACGACTGATCCGTGTGAAGGAAAGAATGAATGGGGCCATGTATCGTCAAATTTTGAGTGAAAACCTCCTTCCATCAGCAAGGGCATTGAAGATGAAACGTGGCTGGGTCTTTCAGCATGACAATGATCCCAAACACACCGCCCGGGTAACGAAGGAGTGGCTTCGTAAGAAGCATTTCAAGGTCCTGGAGTGGCCTAGCCAGTCTCCAGATCTCAACCCCATAGAAAATCTTTGGAGGGAGTTGAAAGTCCGTGTTGCCCAGCGACAGCCCCAGAACATCACTGCTCTAGAGGAGATCTGCATGGAGGAATGGGCCAAAATACCAGCAACAGTGTGTGAAAACCTTGTGAAGACTTACAGAAAACATTTGATCTCTGTCATTGCCAACAAAGGGTATATAACAAAGTATTGAGATGAACTTTTTTTATTGACCAAATACTTATTTTCCACCATATTTTGCAAATAAATTCTTTAAAAATCAGACAATGTGATTTTCTGGATTTTTTTTTCTCATTTTGTCTCTCATAGTTGAGGTATATCTATGATGATAATTACCGGCCTCTCTCATCTTTTTAAGTGGGAGAACTTGCACTATTGGTGGCTGACTAAATACTTTTTTGCCCCACTGTATATGCGACTTGTTGGTGATCTCCTGTGTGAACTGCAATCATACCACGCAAGTGTCCCGAATGTGTAGTGGACGCAATGACGTCACAGGATAGCGTGCTCTATGTTTACGAATTAAACATGGATGGTAGTACTGGCGCGCATCTAGTGGTCTTTTCCAACCATAAAAACTCAATCTTTTCGATATGGTTAAACATAAATACTGCTCTCTGCCATGGTTGTTGTTTTTCTTGCCACTTCTGCGTAGCATGACGCAGAATAGTGACCTTTGTTGGGTATTAATGACGTTCAGGTCGGATAAATGCGACCTGGTTTTCAGACACAGGTCACATTTGAAAAGATCAGATTCGTATTGGATTCAGGACCACATAGCCAAGTTGCCATTTGCCGCACTGGAAAAAATCTGATCTGTGTTGTTCAGACAGCCATGAAAAGATCAGATGCAGGTCGCATATGGGCAAAAAAATCGGATTTGGGTCACTTCAGGCTGCAGTGTGAACGTAGCCAAAATCCGTGACTCAGAGAAACTGTATCCTTGTCCTTCAAAACTCGTCAACCAAATGTCAATTTAAGAAATTATATTTAAGCTTCAATAGTCTCACATTTTATGTGACTAAAAATGCAGTTTCCCCCTTTATTTTCATCCCTTTCTATGTTGCTGTTGCTATGATCTGACAGGAGCTAAAAAATGAAGCCCCTGCTTCTGGCTCTGAACAGTCGGTCAAAGGTCTTCTGAAATTTCATAATCTCTGCGAGCACAGCTGAACGGTTTTGAGGTTTAATGTCTAATATTTTTAAGGCTTCTCCGATTATGGCTTTGTCTTCTCTCTCTCTTTCTCTCTATTTTTGTCTCCATGTGCACTGAAGTCTGTTACAGTATAAGGAAGGATGCAGCCAAGGTTATGTTTCCACATTTGTAAAACATACAAAAGCAAATTAAAAAACAAAAACATTTCATTTACAGCAATTAGACAATAAATAGTTTTTTTTATCCTTTATATGGTGTTGAAATAAATGAATGAGACAGGCTAAAATAATTCCTCGTATCTTACAATCGCTTGTAATTTCATATGGTGAGTTGAGTCTCCCGTCGCCACACGGTGAGGTGCTGATGTACATGTGGAAATGGACGTTGTCTCTCAACCTGTAGCTGTGCTCTTTGTGGCGGACGAATATCGACTCCTCCCAGTCCTCCAGCCTTTTACTGCCGAGACCAAAACAGAGAGAGAGAGAGAAAAAAGAAGCAAGAGAAAAAGCAACAACAGTGAGGCTGATGACTGATGAGAAAGGTAGAACTATTCATCACAACATAAGACATGTATTTCCTCTTTCCCCCCCCCCCTCCAGAATGATGAAGTAAAGCTGAGACAGAGAAGGATGGACGCAGGCTCACACTGTGACCGAAGCCTATTTTACTAATGTCAGTCCTGAACATTACTCAGGTTAACATTGCATTCTTCAAAATATAATCCTTTAGATCTAAACAATGAAGCAAAGACATAAAAAAACAACAAAGAACCCCCTTTTGCTGTACCTGTTGCTTTTAATAACTAGTTAAGAGATGCTGACAGAGATATTACCATCAGAAGACGGGTTGAGGTGCTGATGGCGAAGATTTAGATTCAATTCAGTTTATTTATATAGCGCCATTTCACAGCACATGTCAACTCAAGGCACTTTACAGTCAAATTGATTTAAAGTTTTCGAAAACCAGTTGATTGCATCGACTCATTGACACGAAGGCAATCCCTCACACTAAGCATGCTTGTAGCGACAGTGGAGAGGAAAAACTCCCTTTTAACAGGAAGAAACCTCCAGCAGAACCATGGTCAGTGTGAGCGGCCATCTGCCGAGGCCGACTGCTGAGTCCAAAGGCTTCCAAAACCACAATTTTGCCAAAAAAACATAAAATGAAAGAAATCAGAAATAACCCCAGGTCTTCTACATATGCATATACGTACATATATATATATATATATATACAGAAGAGCTATATGTGTATATATTTTATCTCTTTTTATTCTTATTTTTTTATCTTTATTATATTGTATAGTTGGATATGTTTATATATTATATAAAACTGTAACTGGAGCGTGTAACAAAAGTAATTTCCCTCTGGAATTATTAAAGTATTTCTGATTCTGACCTGATTCTGATTCTATTGACGTGGCTCATTTTACATTTATTAAAAAAGCAGGTTGGCGGGAAAACGACAGAAAGTATTACATTGTAAAATATCAAATCAGAATCTCGGATTGTTTTTGGATTATTTAACAGACTTGGATCTGATTCCAGCTCAGTTTCTTTTATGTATCCTTAATATAGCCCAATTGTAAATGTTTGTCATATCTTTATTACGGTATTCTTTATAGTGCAATATCGCCTGTTAAAATTTCTTTAAAAAATAATAATAATAGAAAAAATTACAACGGACTAAATTTAAAACATACATTTTCAATTTTTCATTGAAATAGAAAAGAACACAACAAAAATGGTCAGAAACGTGACAAAAAAATCTGAATCATAATCTGAATTGTTAGTCATATATGTCCTGATAGCAGGAAAAAGTTAGCTATTGTTGGTTATATGTTATTTCTTCTTATTTTTATGGTTCAGACCAGTATTCGTTTTGTATAAACTCTGTGCATGTGTCAAAAATGACAATAAAGTATGTATAGGTCTAAGTATTGCAGCGTAAAATACACTTCTCTATATATTGTATGTGCGTTCTAGCTCTCACTTGTTTGTCCTTATTTAAAACCTAAACATAAGGTTTGAAAAAATGGAGTCAACTCAGTACAGGCTGTTCCATCTTTGATGTAATCTCCTAAAAAACAGGTCAAAATAAGGCTCAGCATTGTGTGTGGCCTCCACATGCCTGTATGACCTACCTACCTGCCTGGGCATGCTCCAGATAAGGTTGCGGATGGTTTCCTGAGGGTTAACCTCCCATACCTTGAATAAAGCATCCACCAACTCCTGGACAGTCTGTGGAGCAATATTACATTGGTGGATCGATCTAGACATGCTATCCTAGATGTGCTCAATCAGATTCAGGACTGGGGAACAAGCATATCAGTCCATAGCTTCTATGCCTTCTTCTTGAACTTCTGGTACACTGCAATCACATGAGGTCTAGCATTCTCCTACATTAAGAGGAAGCCAGGGCCAACTGCACCAGTATATGTTGTCTGATGATGTCATCCTGGTACCTAATGGCAGTCACGCTACCTCTGAGGAGCACATAGATGGTTTTTGGCTCTACAAAGAAATGCCAGCCCACAATATTACCGACACAATGCCAAATTGGTCATGCTGAAGGATGTTGCAGGCAGTAGATCACTGTCCATGCTGCCTGCAGTCTCAGTCACATCTATCACATGTTCTAAGTCTGAATCTTCTATCATCTGTGAAGAGCATAGGACGCCGAATGGCGAATTTGCCACTACATGTGTTCTCTGGCTATTGCCAAGCATCCTGCATGCTGTTGGGCTGTGAACACGACACCCATCTGTGGACTTCAAATCTTCATACCATCCGCATGGAGTTGGTTTCTAGTCCTCTGTGCAGACACATGCACTTGGTGGCCTGCTGGAGGTCATTTTGCATTCCCTGGCAGTGCCCCTCCTGTTCCTCCTTGTCCAAAGGCAAAAGTAGCAGTCCTGCTGTTGGGTTGCTGCCCTCCTACCACCTCTTCCACATCTCCTGGTGTACTAGCCTGTGTCTTGGTAGCGCCTCCAGCCTGGGGACACTTCGCTGACAGACATGCCAAACTTTCTTGCCAATACTGGATGAGCTGCAAGACCTGAGCCTTCTGTGTGAGCTGTAGAGTCCTTCTCATGCTAAGACAACTGTGAAAGCACCACTAGCATTCAAAAGTGACCAAAACATCAGGCAGAAAGTATAGATACTGAGAAGTGGTCTGTGGTCCCTTCCTGCTGAACCACTCTCTTATTGAGTGCGTCTCCCTAATTGCCAATAATTTTTACCTGCTGTATATTTCATTTGCACAACAGCATGTGAAATTGATTGTCAATCAGTGTTGCTTCCTAAGTGGACAGTTTGATTTAACAGAAGTTTGATTTGATGGGATTTACAGTGTGTTGGTTACGTGGTTCCTTACAATAATGTTAGAGGTTGAGTTTGTTCATGCCAGGTCTTGCTCTCTGTACAAAACACCAGATCAACAGCAGAAAAATGATTTTCGTCCACTGCCTTAACATGACAAATGTCGTGACAAATGTCATGTTTACTGTAAACACCACAATATTTCCAATTGAAAAAAAAGAGGATGTAGAATTACTGTTTCCTATAGTTTTTGTGTCACCTGCTGTTTGCCAACTCTCCCAGGTGTTTTGTCAGAGTCTAAAGCATACATATGAAAGCATTACTTGGTGTTTTAAATAATTAAGCTAAATACTGAAGGCTCATTCTAAGAAAGCTCTCATTTTTCTTAGACAGACTGGTAGCTGAACGATGTAAGGAAGAGAGCAGCTGGTGCCACTAATGCTGCTGATGAGCAGCACGGTTCAGTTTATGTGCTTCCAGCAACATTAAAGTTAATGTGATGAAGTAAATTTACAGCATTTTAGCAGCGGTGATAAATACTGTCAAACTGGCATAACAGTATTTGTGGAAATCAGCATATGCTAGGCTAAAGTAAGCAACACTCTGTCATCATAGAAACATTTGGACTATATGAAAGAAGAAGAAGTTTTTTTGTATTTGGGTTACTTAATGTGGATCCCACGTCTATTTCTTGGTCATTTTTGTTATATAGTGTTTCCCAAGAGCACACATTTCATGTTGATATTTAATAAAAATAGCTTATTTTTGGTGTCATATATGTTTTCTTTATAACAAATAGGTTTGACATTTCTTATGGCTAAAATTAGGCAGAATCAGTAACACAATGGTAAATTCTAATCCAAGACTCATAAGTCAGAGATTTCAACAAGAGTTTTTTAAGGTCTAGGTTATATATAACAAATAAATCAACTTTTCCTCTGTTTTACAAATTAGGACATGACATTCATAATGCAAAGCATGAGTGTTACTCTTTATATAACCTCTCCTACGCTGCTGAAGTCCTTTCACTGAGTGTAAATGTGGCAGTTGTGGCATTTTGTTTGGTCATTTCATTATAAATTATCTTTCACATTAGCCATTTTACTCAGCTGCAAAGTCTCTGTTGCTGCCATCTTGCATTGTCCAAAGACAAAAAGTCAGTGTTGTGTATGCAAATATGACATTCAACGATCTAGACTTCCATCCACTAATCTGATACATCAGCATTTCAGTTGGGTTCCCCGGGGAGTACAGGAAAGTAATATATGCTTATAGGGTGGATGCAGGTAAAAGTCAAAATTCATCAAAGCCATCATCTTGGCCCTGATAAGGCTCAACAACGACCATGATATATCGGTATATAGCATTCATATTCCTTAAACACTCCCACATTTAAAATTTCAAATGTCTATATTGTATTATGCTTCACAACAAAAAAACATAGACAGGCTGTGTAATAGTTTAGTAAAAAACAACAACATGATTGTTAAAAGGCAATAATTTCCAATCCTAAGTTTGTTGCGAAGAACTCAAAAAAATACTTATTTTTCCAAGGTCCATCTCCATCAAATCGGATCAGCTTTGCTGTCACTTCCAAAGCAAAAGTACCCACAGCATTATGCAGCATTGCTGGAAGGAACACTGCTGTATGGTCACTTCTTCCATACGCTGTTTGTCACTTCGATGGCTTGCTGCAAACTAAATTAAACTTTTAACAATGGCTTTTTGTCTTGCCACTTTTCCATAAACCAGACTTTTGGGGTGTACAACAAATGGCTGTCCTGTCAATGTCAGGGATATGAATGTGACAATGGACACTGGAGCTCCTCCTGAGTTAGCACAGTGAATCTTAGCTTCTCCTCTGATAAATGCTTGTTTCTGCAAGCTGGCTACTTTAGGGAAACCTTCATGCCTTGAAATGTTGTACCAAACTCTTGCTATTTTCAGATAGGATAGGATAGGAAATAATGGGCCTCATTCAATAAGGGTTCACAAGAACGAATGTATTCTTAAATTGTTCTCACGAGTGATTTAGGAGAAAATGTTGCATTTAACATTTTTCGCCTATTTCTAATCTTCTCTCAGGTAGAATATGCCCCAGACTTTACACAGTCCTGGGCAGTGTTGTATAGTAAC